GCCCGGCCTTATCATTGTTCTTGAAATGATCACTTTGACTTTGGGATTTGTCACTAGTCTTCACTCTGTTTTATCCCTAGTTTGCCCTTGTCCCTGGGGACTCATAGAGGATGGTAGACCCTTAAAGCTTAAGAGCCAGGTGCCTGGATTCTCATTTCAGAAAAAAAAAAATCTTGTATCCAGATTCTATCCAATTGACTTCTCTAAGGAAACAGTACACAGTTGTAAGAGACTAGCAGAGGCTTGAACAGAGCTAGACATTACTGGATCCGAAGTCCCAGTTCTTTTTTCTTACTGGCTGTATGGCCTTGAACAAACTTCTTAACCCTTCAAGATCTGAGTTTCTCTGTCGTGAAGTGGAGATAATAATACACCACAGAATTGTGAGAACTAATGAGCATAAATTGCTCGGTACAATTCCTCATACACAGTAAAACACAGACTGTGTTATGATATATCTTGCCACTTAGACAGATGATCTTTCTCCTACAGTTTACTTGCTGGCCTGATTATGGGGTACAGTGCGCAATTTGGCATCAGGCAGATTTGCATTTGAGTTCCAGCTCCGGTTACCTACAAGCTTTGTCACCTAAAACACATTGCCCTGTGTTTAGTCAAATTCTTGCTACTAAAATTGGGTTAGTGATGCTTACCATGTAGGTATATACATATTTATTTGTACACACACACCACTTATGGGGCTCAGAGTAAGAACATGGAAAAGATAAAACTGGGGCTCAAATGGTGTCTGTAGATCCTTTACAGTAGAAATCTTGGGTAGTTGTAAAAAATGTATTGTGGGGAATAGTTCAAGCTCCTAACAAATCTTAAAAGCAAAACTTCAGTCCTGTAGTTCTGGGCACCACTTTTTTTTTTCTTTCCACAAAAATTAGTTGTTATGGGAAACCAAATTATGTATATACTGATGACCACTGCCATTTTCTAAAAAGGCATGAAGAAAAGATCAGAAGGAAGTGTACCAAAATGCTAGGTTTGTTTTAAACACGAGTTACATCAGCAAAGTGATTTGTTGTAGTTATTTCTTTAGTTTTCCACATTCTCTGCATTTTGGTAATTTTTACGGTTGGTATATACTTTCAAAATGGAGGAAAATTAATTTTTCAATATTGCAAAAATTATTCCACAAGCTGAGCACAGTGGCGCATGCCTGTAGCCCCAGCTACTCAGGAAACTGAGGCAGGGGGATCACTTGAGCCCAGGAGTTTGAGGTTACAGTGAGCTATGACGACGCCACCGCACTCCAGCCTGGGTGACATAGTGAGACCCACTCTTCATTAAAAAATAAAATTGGCCCATAAGACTTTACTGTGAATGTCTTCAGATACTAAACTCTGTCCTCATCACGTGTCTTCCAGCTACAAGCCTGATCTGATCTGGTCTGATGGGGAGTGGGAATGCCCTGATACTTACTGGAACTCCACAGAATTTCTTTCTTGGCTCTACAATGATAGCCCCGTCAAGGTATGCAGTTATATAACTAATTTCTTATTTGTCTATTAGGATAAAAGGAAGTACAAGGAGCCAAGATCTGGAGTCCCAACAACCACCACAGCAGCAATAACAAACAGTAATATCAGCGTGAGGGTGGCAGGGGCTGAGGCACTTAATGGATGTTAAAGGTTTCTCCTTTACTCCTTCCCCACACCCCTTGGAGTCTAAGCTTTATTTTTCTCTTTTAATTCTTGATTTTG